TCCTTCTACTCTAAAGAAGAGCACAATCGGTGGAGGAAGGAAATTGCAAATGGTGGTGGGGTACGTGATAGCAAGGAAATAGGGGTGGAGGAGCACGAGCTAGTGTTTGACGATGGTGTAAATGACGATTAAGAGGACATCGACCTGATGGTTTTCCTGTGGTTGACACACTAACCACTTACCAGATGGTGAAATTCAAGATTTTCAGAGATCTAATGGTTGCATTATGACGCCCTGGTAGGGGAGTTTTGACCAAGGAAATTGGTGATCGAAAGTGTCTCTTTACATTTTATCACATTATTGATAGGAATTGTGTTCTTGAAAATGGCTCGTGATTGTTTGAGAAAATTAAATATGTTGGTTTTAAGAGCAATTGAATATGGGGTATCCCCCTCAGGGTCCCTTTGAACTTGGTTGAATTATGGGTTCATGTGCATAATGTGCAGCATGATTTACAACCTTTGAAACAATTAAAAGAATTGAAAATTATTTGAGAGGGTTTGTAAAATTGGATGATAATCAATTTGAGTGCAAGTGGGATGCATATATGCACATCAGAATCTGTTTAGGTATAGGTAAACCATTAAAGGCTGGTACAACAATTAGAAAAGGAAAAGTGTAAATCACAACCTCAATATAGGTAGAGGTAGGAGCATGAGAAATCTGGACGAATGGAGGAGGGAAGCCAGGGCTAGCTAGTGACAGTAATTGAAACCGAGGACAATCAAGTTGGAGTCATATGGATAACTAGTACCGGGTATGGCCCTCGACAAGCCAAAAAACGGGGTGGAGGCGGGTGTTGGTTACGAGGCCCGTCTAGATCTGTGATGAGGTTGCATTCCCAAGGATACAGAGTCAGGTTGCTCGTGATTATGAGTAGGCATCTTTATTTAAATTATATTTTGCTTTTGCTATTATCTTTTACTTCAAACTGGATGTTGTTTTGGTTGTGCTTTTGTTCTCTACTATTAAAACTCTAGAATTTAGGTTGGTTGATGAGAGGTTTATTGCGTTCGTCATCGGCTCAGTTAAGCCTGTTACAAGATCAGCGAGTCATATCCTTTTTTGAAGATGATTGACTCTAAGCCTGGTTCGAGAGTGGACAGTCAGAACTCAGAAGTGAACTTTTTATCTTTTCGTAACTTGCCTAAGTTCTAATTATTTAATATTAGCCATCTTTTTCGGGTCAAATTTATAAATGTTACCTTAGCTATTGATATTGTTGCATTTTGGTACCTCAACTCTTTAATGAATCAAATAAGTACTATAACTATACATAAATATTTCAACATTGAATTTTGATCGTCATGAATGATTTTTTGGCCACAAATTTAAATAAAATTACAAATTAAAACATTTATGTATAATTATGATATTGATTTAATTCATTTGAGAATTAAGTGTTGTTTTTGAATTAATGTTAATTAATTAATTAATTACGAAAATAGGGTTGAGTTAAAAGTATTTACCAATATACTGTTGGGTTAACCATGGTCGGGGTAAGTCGCCCAACGGTTGAGCGACTTACCTTTAAGTAAAAACTTCAACCAGCCAGAACAGACCACTGCGTAAATTAAACCCAATCCCCAAAATCCCCCAAGCCGCAGCGACGAAGGACGAAGGACGAACGACGACCGAGCGATTTGGAACTCCGGCGAACCTCCATCTCCAGCTACCCCACTCCGGCAAACCTACATCTTCATCTTCAACACTCTTTCTTCTTTCTTGTAGGTAAATCAAACCCCATTTCATCTCATTTTGAACTTAGGGTTTTGAATGTTAAAATTTTCAAATTTTTAGATTATGAATTGATTGTGAATTGAGTTGTTGTGAAATGTGGATATGTATGAAATGTTGAAATTTGATTTTAAATTGATTGCAACTTTTAAAGTGTATTTTGACATTTGGGCATTTGGGTAGATTTGAATGTAGCTAAATTTGGGTATTGAAATGTAGACTTGAATGTAGATAGCAAAATTTGGGTATTTTCATATTGAAATGTGAGTTGTTTTTGAATTTTGACTTTTGGATATATTTGAATTGTTATTAAAATATGGATTTCTCAAGCTTCTAAATCGTGTGTCATTGGGGAGGTAACTATTATGAGGATGCTGGGCAAATATGCCATGAAGGTGGTACAACCACATTTATCATGGTTTCTCGTGGTGCTTGCATGCTCGAGATCCTTCAAAAAATACATGCATCCACAATGATTCATCCTAGCCGTTCTTTGCGTTTGAAAATGAAATTTCCCAAGAACGGGGAAAGTACATGCTTATGCCCCTCATTGATGAGCTAGCTATAACAAATATGTGGGGCATAGTTTAGATGGAGGACATGTCGATGCTGGAGATATACATTGAGGAATCCATATGTGACGCTTATGGTACTCCATCAACATCAAATGCTGTTGTATCTAGGCATTATGTCAATGCAGATGTGAATGCAGGGAACTTCTCAAATGCTCCTTTACTAGACATGGTTATACAGGAAGATGGTAGGTATTTACACAACGGTGCATCATTTGTGGATGGGCAGGGAAGTGATGATGACGCTGACGACAACATCAATGGTGAAGACATGACAGAATCTGATGAAGATGATGGTGATACGGTCACGACAACTGCCCCGTCTACACACTTTACTAGAATGTATGATCTCCCTGAAGGCTTTGCTGATGCGTGGCTGAGTGGATCAGGTGAGAAAAGGTTTACTCCCGAAGGTGAGTTTGAGGTGGGTCAACAGTTTGACAACAAAGAACAAGTCATCAATATGGTGAGCTTGTATTCTATCAAACGGAACCAATTTTTTCGGGTGATAGAGTTCGATAAACACGAATGGGTGGCACAATGCAAAAGGAAGAAAGAAAGTAATTACCCCTGGAGAATACGCGCCACAAAGAACAAAGGCAACCTTGACACCTTCACAATTGTACGTTATCCGTGTAACTTGCACTTGTAAAAAGATGGAGATATATAAGATTCCATGCTCCCATGTGTTAGCCGAGTGCAGACAACGTAGCTTGTCTTATGCTCCATTTGTGGGTAAGTTTTTCACATTTGATCAATACGTGACCACATATCATAGAGTCTTCAAACCCATTCCTGATCGTGATTATTGGCCTACTTACAATGGACCTGAAATCGTGCACGATCCATCCATGCTTTGGGCTAAGGGAAGACCTAAGTCGACGCGTATTAAGAATGAGATGGATGAAGGTCCCCAAGGAACGGTTAGATGTGGAAAATGCCACCAATCCGGTCATAATAGGGCCACATGTGCGAAGAGATCGTCAAGACACGATAGAGGGTCCAGTGGGTAAGGTGTTAATTATAGTAATTCACAATTCATCTTAGCGTTGCATGAAAACATATTAATTAATAAAATGGATGATGAAAAAAATAGAATTCGTATAATACTAAAAATTAACTAATACGATTTTGTTTTTTGTAGGCATGGAGGTGACAACGGATCCTCAGCCGAGTGATCAAGATGACCATGAGAACTTCTACTTTGCCTTTTGTATTGCATTTTTTCTTGTACAGTAGATGTTGTAGGAACAATTTACAACATTTTACGTATTTTCTCTTGTATGTTGTCTTAGATGATTACTTATCATGAATATTGGATGATTGTTTGTACTGTGTTTTACTGGTGTGTTGTATGTGTTTTTCTTGGATTATTACTTCTGTATCAAGATGTTTTATAATGTGTTGTATCTGGCTCGTAACACTTAAACAAGAGAAGGGAGACCTTATTTATAGCAAACAGATGAGTCTGGGTTGAACTGAGGCAAAAAAACTGATGAAATTCTGTTTTCGGAATTAGGCACGATCGTGCCTACCCTTGCAGGCACGGTCGTGCGTGGCTGGCAATAGCTGCTGGCCTGCGTTCATATGGAAGGGAAATTCGCCCAACGGTTGGGCGACTTATAAATCGCCCAACCGTTGGGCGATTTTCCCTAACCATGATTAAACCCAACAGTAGATCGGTAAATATTTTTTTTTCCAGCATTATTTCCGTAATTAATTAATTAATTAACATTAATTCGGGAAAAACTCGAGAATTAAGATATCAAAAAAAGCAACACATTTATAAGTAGGGGTGTGCACCGGTCTAAATCCGGACCAGACCAGACCGGAACCGGTTAGGACCGGAACCGGAATCATCATTTTCTATGGACCGAAGACCGGACCGGAATCTAACCGGTCCGGACCGGTCCGGGTCTGAATTTTCCGGTCCGGTCCGGTTTTGACCCTAATTAGCCCGGTTTTAGAAAAGCCATATTATCTTAGAGTGATCTTAACCAACCCCAATTTTTTTGAGGAATACGACTTGGATGTTGTTGTTGTTTCAAACTATAATTTTATGTGCGGATATGCTAAATATGCTAAATAATCTATAATTGTTTAGCTCATTTATTAGTTTTGGAATATAGTCGTCAAAACTATTCAATCGTAACAATTAGTTTCCCACAATAATTAAAACTACAATCTTTTGTATATATTAAAATGACAAAATGTATTGTAGAGTAATAAAAATTAAAATTACGTCCAAAAATATACTACGTATAAACTACATGCACACTTGCAAATAAAGAAACAAATAAAAAGCAGTTTGGAAAAATCAAACAAATTTAAATTACGATCATAGTAGTACACACTTGCACATAAATAAACAAATCAGAAACAACTCAGGAAAAATTTAGACACTAAATACACACTCCGTATATATTCGTTTTTATAAAAAAAACAAAAGTAAGCCATAAACATAATGACTAATGATACAGAATGAAGTGTATATTATACGAAACAATAGTTTACCGTCCATTCCGATCCGGATCTGTTTTTTCCGGGTTTGACCCGGACCGGAACCCGGAATCTTGAAAAACTAAGGACCGAAACCCGGACCGGTCCGGTCCGATTCCGATCTAAAATACTGTCCTACACGGTTAATGCACAGCCCTATTTATAAGGGAATAATAAGTTAAGTTGACAAAGAAACGAAAAAAGACACTGATGCAATCACCCGTGATTGCCCGTGATTATGAGTTCAGGTCACCCGTTTGAAGAAGACACTTATGTTAGGGTTTAGGGTTTTATGAGAACGCAAAGAATGGGAAGGCACCGAAGCCGCAGTCGGAGCCACAGCCCTGTGCCAAGCAAGCGATATGAAGAGCCTCGCGACCGCCGTGCAGACCGCCATTCCCCTGCTCCCTCTGGCCTTCTCGTTCGAAATATTTCTCTCAGCTCCAGGTCCCTTTTCTTCTTTTCGAGTTTATATATCCTTCTGCGCGCTTCTCTATGTATACACGTTGTTTATTATTAGCACATTTCTGTTTTGTGATACATGCGAAGCCTTGAGAGACAACACTAATAGAATATCCTTTCAGAAACACAAGTTCTTGATGTTTTTCTAAACAGTGAAACACTTGAGACGTTTTATTTTTTAAGAGGAGTTGTCCACTTTGTTCGCACAATAATTAGGTTAGTCCATATTTGGTTCTGGCTTTTCATCAACTATGGGTGCATTAATTTTTATAACTATGGATATTAGGTCACTCTGATATTTCTAACAATTTTTTCGTGACAAATTCATTTAAAAAATCACAATGTGTTGTACACCCATAAAAAAATGTGAACCCTAAAATCCTCCTGGAATGAGTAATTGTAGTTTACACGACAATTTCCTGTTAGTTTTGGCCGGAGTCAAAGGGATCAAAAGAAGCAAAGTATCCAGTCATTCACCAAAAGTATAAATAATGAAAGTCCACCAAAAGTACAGAGACCCAATAATTGTGAGACAAAAAGTTTACTTTTTCATTACCTAAATAAAATATCGTTTTCAATGATATTTATGTGTGTGTGAGTGTATATGTGAATGTGTGCATGCATGTGTATATATCTATTATATAGGAGTATACATATGTGTGTGAATGTATACACACGTATGTGTAGAGACTGAGAGAGACTATTTTCCAATAATATCCCTCTTCAGAGCATTCTATACTTTCTATATTTCTACAATACAATGTTTTCATTGCATTTTATTGAACACTTTTAGCAAATGGTTATGCGTTAGGTGTTCATATTTATGTTTTAGAGAATGTGAAATCCTTATTATTACTTGTCCTTCTTTAGGCCTGAAGATATCAGAGTACCTTTTGAGCGGTTTGGTCCAATAAGAGATGTTTACTTACCGAAAAATTACTACAGTGGGTATGCTATGTTTCTTGGCTCCTGAATTAATAATTTTCAGTAGTTTGAGGTTCTGGTTTTGCTGGATCACATTTTTACCTGGCATCTGTTAATTTTTGCAATATAGAGAACCTCGGGGCTTTGGCTTTGTGAAGTTTCGTTATCCTGAAGATGCAGCTGAAGCGAAGAAATGCTTAAATCATACTGTCATTGGTGGGCGTGAAATTCAAATTGAATATGCTGAAGAAAATAGAAAGACGCCACATGAAATGCGTAGGCTAACCACAAAAACAAGGTATTCCTATGCTGTTATTCTCACGATATGACCTATATCTAGTTTATTTTTGTGTGTATTAGCAATTAGCACTGCGCTCATCACAGATGCATCTTGAACCTTTTCTGTTGTGATGCTATATAGTTACCGACAGAGTTCAAGAAGACACAGTCCGTCAAGATCCCCAAGGCGGAGATATCACTGTTAGTTCACTTTCTAATTGATTTATTTAATTTTAGCTAACAAGAAAGTTCTAGCATCTTGTGCTTAAATTTAAATATAGCAGTTTATGGAATTCATTGTGCTTCATGAGCATTAGTGTGTATTTGGAAGTACATCGCATATTTGCATGTACCTTCTTGATGCATATGTGAATGAAATTTTACTACATAAACAAAAAAAGCAATAAAGAATTAAAGATTTTAAATTGTTATTTCAGAAATGATTTTTCTGGTAGGAATTCATCTGTGATCTCACACTCACACTCACACTCACACTCACTCTCACTCACACTTATGTACAATGCAAGTGCCTCTATGGGTGTATAAGTACATGAGTACATGACATGCTTTTATTCTATTCTGATTAATTGATGAATGATAAGTAGAAGTGTAGTGTTACGTTTATTTTGCCTAAGTTTCCTCAATGGATAATAGCTTATGATTTTCTGTGGCAGCTGATTCACGGTCACCCACTCCGGCACGACAAGCGTCAAGGTCTGTTTGTAATTAATTTCAATATGGATATTTTTCTTCCTACTATACTTCAAAGTTCACTCATCCACTCTTTGCGTTTTCGCTGTACAATCACAATGTGTCTTACGTTTTTTCCTTTCCTCTATACTCCCACCCGGGTGTGCAAGTGAAATTATTAACTGACCTTGATTGTAATTTTATTAACTGAGTCACATTGAGCCAAACCCTGCTTCTGGATAACTGAGCTGGAGTGGGAAAGTTAGGTCACTTAGGTGCTTTTAAGGCTTCTTTACTTTTCTTTTTGAAAGGAAGAAGATGAATATGGTTCAAGTCCGTAAGGATTGCCTTTGAAGTGCTTAATTAATGCAAATACAACCATCAATCAAACTTTTTCTCGCCAGTCAAAATCATTCAAGTTATGTCAACTTCTGAGGGCTTGAATTTGAGTGTGGGAACTAGGTTGTCCTCGGCTCTGTCATAGCCCTGTACTTTAATGAGTTTCTTTTAAATTCCTGATACAGTTAGGTCTGTGCTAATCTTATGTACTCCTGTCCCAAAAGAGAGCCCTCTTTGAAAACTTATTTCCCGAAAAAAGTCAAATTTAATGAAGAGAAGTTGACTCTTTAACGTACGTAGTTGTTTCTACAAAAAGTGTGAAACAAGTTGAATATGTTGGATTTAGTTGAACTAACAAAGAGATATAATTATGCTGCTGGAATTGATGATTTCCAAAAGTTTTACTAAACTAAAATTTTAGAAATTGTACCTTAGTGAAACAAGACTCTATTTAAGATATCATTTACGCAACATGTAGTTTGGTCTTAAAAGGAAATTACTGATTGTTGGATTCTTTTCAACACGTGCTTTATTTTATTCTAGTGTTCCTGTGCTTATCGGTAATCTTTGTGATATTTTGCTTTCCTTTTATCATTTACAGTTGTGTTTTTTAAAGTAAATTGATCTAATGCACTTCACTTTTTACAGTAGATCCATCTGAGAGCTAATTTACTATCTAATATTTCTAGAATCTAAGAAGATCGTAAAAGTTAGGGATGATAAAGGCACAAAAGAATGGACTTCAATCATAAATTTCAAGGTTATATTAGCACATATTTGTAAAAGCTTTTTCTGACGTTTTTTGTTTGAACAGACCTCTTTTGGTACATAACTTCCGACTATCCATAGGATATATTTATTCAAGGACTTCTTTGCATAAGATTGTGTTTATGGAAGTAGTTCAAATGACATGTGGACTGATGAATAAAAAACATAGCTTTTCTATTTATAAAATTTATATTTGATTAACAAACTCTATTGATGTTGCGTATCATTCAGTTAAAGAAAGAATATAAAGCTTAGTTGGCCAAAGAAAGAAATCATCTTCAAAGAAGCATGAGCTTTTTAATATTGCTGATTGAGATGTGATGGGATTTGCCCAAGGAACCACTGATAATATGAAGCTACCCCCAAGTTCAGTCAGCCTTAAACAATAGTTGCATCAATATGTAATTTTAGCAAGACTGAAAAATATATACAGGTAATGGCTTTGATGAACATTTTTTTATTTTTTCATTCTTTAGTGTTTGTTGATAGGGATCTTTGGGTTTCCTGTGTATCTTTGAATGTCCAGTTCAGTTCAAAAGAAAATTACCAAATGTTTTTGTGAGCTGATATTGCCTGCTTTTGAATCCCGTGTGTTAATGTGCCTTGCTGTTTTGTTTCTATGCCTATTAAAGAGATCGTAAAAGGACGGAATATAATTCGCCTCGGAGATCCAGATCACTATCAAGATCTCTGTCCCCTAGGAGGATTAAAACGTCAAAGGAAAGGCACGTGAGGCAGCGTTCCAGATCCGTGTCCCGATCCGCTTCTCCAAGTAACAGATATGCTCCAACTCGAAGTAAAAAAAGCAATGGACAGGTTTCATGTGATGATGATTCTGCTCCAAAACAGACTTGAAACTCCATCATGGAATTAACACAGTTGATGGTCTGATTCTAGACCCTGCTAAAATCACTCTATGCTGCTAAAATCAGACTTTCACCTTGGTTTAGAAAAATTGTTTGATGCCAAACCCGGGGATGTCATGTTTATGCCTTTTGAACACTCATACAGATCACACCATCCATTTATTTCACTCCACCATTTGATCGAAGTTTTTGTTATATGCTTCACTTTTTGTACAATTAAAAAATGTATCAATAGACATAATTTCTTTTACATTTTCATCTTTTAGCTCCTAGTTTTTAACTTCAACACTTCTTTCCCCATACAACTTTATTCTTGAGCGTTTTGAAAATGTGGTGGCTTACGTAAAAACAGAGAAGATAGTGTGGGACACTTGCTGGATGCCTGGATGAAAATGTCATAATGCTGATTTGTGCTCTATGCAGTTGTTGGTTGCTGCATGGTTCCTGACTTCCCGTGAAGTTCCAACTTGTATGACGTCTTTACGCTGGATGATGGATGTCTCTCTTGAAGTTCCCGTTGAGCTTCATGTTTTGTGAAATTACTACTACTTTGACCGTCTTGTATCTGTTTGTGTTGGGGCCGTTGGGCTGTTGAAACAAGGAACTCATTTTATGGGAATGTAAATCCCGACTTCCTTTTTGTACTTCATCCCAAAGGAATAGTTTTCTATTTGGGATTTTTCGCTCGAATACTATTCATTGCAAAATTAGATTCTACGTACAAAAATATGATTACTTTTAAGTTTTAAATTTTAATACCCAAAAATTGACTTTAAAATTGACTTATGATTCCTCTGCACAGTGACCTGGCCAACCTTGTCAGTCGTTGATGACCCGAAAATACTCCTGTCAAGTGTCAAGTGTCAACCCAAAGGCAGTGGCCTCCTAACCCCATCATTGCCCTCACACTCACAGTGGCTTCCTAACCCCAGCGTTCTCCATCACTGACTTAAACACATGCACAACAGAGAAGAATAAGGGATGGCGGTGTAAACCCTGGTAGATGACTGGCTTCACGAATGTTACTGAAACTGTAGACTTGAGAGGTTGACAGATAAGTAGACAAAATTGGTCCCGTCTCTTAAGCTTTTGGTGTGGGCGTAGGAGTGGTATAAGCTATGAAAGAAGTTTAAGAATGGTTGCAAGCTGGAACCTCGTCTTTGTCATTGTTGGGAAGTTGGAGCAAGCATGTTTGTCGATGGTACAATGTTTTCGTTAGACTGAATCTTGCACTCGGTTGAAATTTCTGAATGTGAGGCCACACAAAGATAAGACGAAATAGTTATAGTTATAGTAGTATTCCTGTTGGTTTACGATCTCTTTAATAGGCATCGGTGGTTTCGGTGGAATTTTTTGATGAAATCGTGAGGATGTTCTTTTTTTTTTGGAAGAAATAGGCTTAAATTTATATCTCAACATTTAGATAATGGGTAACCCGACAAAAAGAATCTTGATAATCGTCATCTCGCGAATCAGTTTCAGAGTTAATCACCTCAATAGAAGCAAAATAACTCGCTGATCCATTAAGGGCACACAAAAGCCAGAGACGATTACCCCAATTCTCTCATCCCCATATCCAAATCAACCGTCTAACAGCAAGGAATCCGAACAACAAAACAAAACACAGGATAAAAAACTAAATCAGGAAAGATAAAAATAAAACTAATAAACTTGAACTAGTGTCCGAGCATGTTGAACTGCACAATCACCCATATCTTATTCTTCTGACTCTGAACCCACTTAGGCGGACTTACTAGTCGAAGTCTGCCTCCTCCCCGTTTTTTGTTTCGTCCAGAGCCATGTTATCTTTTCCATCCTGCCCTTCCCCCTGTTTCTCCCACAACCTCCGTCTCTTCTGTTCCCCCGCTGTTTCCTCCTTGCCCTCATCCCCAATTCTTTTTGTTATACTCTGCTCAGAATCTGCAGTTGAATCTCTTCTTCCACATCCCACCTTGTCCCCAGACCTAGTACCCTCTCCATACCTCTGGTCCCTGCCAGAGCTCGATGAACCCTCCAGTAACCATTGACTCCCCCCTGTAGGACTCGTTTTCCCTCCGCTACCAGCTCTAAGCTAGACTCCATATTTCTTCTCCAGAACTAGGCCTTCTTCATAAATTAAATGGTAGAATTTATCTGAATGTCCAATTAATGCGCAGATAAAGCAGAAATTGGGTAACTTTTCATATCTGAAATCTACCCAATAACTCTTCCCATCTTTCTTCAGGTTGGTACCTCTTTTCAGTGCCTTTTCCACATTCATACAAACACTAATTCTCATATAGGCCTCCCACTTGTCACTATTTTGATTATCATCATATTTTATGAATTTCCCTATAAAATTTCTGACCTTTCTGGCAATACCCTAATTAACAAGACTATAGGGAACATTGTGGATTTGAACCCAAAAATCTGCCTCATTCAACAGATTTCGTTCAAATTGCCAAGGTCCTCCCTCAAGAACACGAATCAGATCCACTAGATGATAAAAGTGAACAAATACCTTTTTCCCCGACTTCTTTGACCGATATACCTTTGCCCGGCCTCCATAGCGAAGCCATAAGCTCTTTGATAGCTGGAAATCTGACCTTGCGATCTGTCAGCAGGACTCCTATCACCGGAAAGCCCAACCTCTGTACTTCTACCGGCGGCTCCTCGAACTCTGTATCATTCAGATCCAAATCCTCCTCCTCTTCCTCCAGCGCCATTTTTCTATACTTGTCAACAACACCCTCCATGCACAGCCCTTCCGCCTAAGCTTCCTCTCGGGATTTCGCAGGTCGCTTTCTCCTCTAACTGGTTTGTGAAAAGCTCGTCGGAGATATGTGGAGATCAGTGGCTTCGTATCTTCTCCGTCAAGAGCTCCAGAGAAAATCATCACACGCGGACAAAGCAAAGCTTCACAGTAATTCGTAGATAAAAGTCCCGCTCTCCAACCGGCTTACCAGCAGCGGCTGATAGAAAATGCCTAGAGAGAGAAAATGCCTGCTCCTATAGAGTGAAGGAAGGTTAGATCGACTTGTTAGGATGTTCTTTATTAAGTGTAGATTATGTTTATTAAATTTCAGCTAAAAATCAATCGAAAAGTCAGTTAAATAAAATTTTAAAATAAAACCACCAAAATATATATAAAAAACGTGGTTATTTTCAAAATTTTATTTAACTGATTTTTCCATCCAGTTTTTAACTAAAATTTGGTAGGCATAAGCTACACCTTATAAAAACATGCTCATAAAATTTCATCAAAATATTTCACCGGAATCACCTCAAAATGAGAGGTATATGCATTGATATTTGTGATATTTTTATCAATTTCTAGTCTTATTTTTCAACTAATATGTATGTGCAGTGGTGGAACCAGGACTCGTGACTCGCAGGGGCACAATAACAAAGAAATGATATACTAGTCTAGAAAAAAATCATATGCATCACGAGTATAGCAATAAACAAAACTATAAAATTTAAATAAAACCACTGTTTCTGGAATGATCTGTTACACCCATTAAAATCACTTTGTGGAAATTTAAAGTCACGCGGTTGGCAAGGACCTTTTCTCAAATAATGTCTCCTCAACTCATCTCTAATATTAACATCATAAGTCTCAATCGGCATAACTTTTCTGTCCAGCACTTTTCTGTCCGAACGTCGTCCGAACACCGGCGTTTGGGGCGGTTAACGGCGGAATATTTTGATGAACATTTTTGAGCATGTTCCTCATCAAGTCTAGTTTATACATACCAAACTTCAGCTCAAAATTCGATCGGGAAGGTAATCAAATAATTCGTTGAAGTTAACTGCGCCAAATTATACATAGAAAAACGCAGTTAACTTCAACGAATTATTTCACTGCCTTACCGGTCGAAATTTGACTTGAAATTTTGTATGGATAAACTAGACTTGATTAGAAACATGCTCAAAAAATTTCATCAAACAATTCCACCTGGAACCGCCCCAAACGGCGGTGTTCAGACGGCGTTCGGACCGGGAGGTGATGGACCTGAGAATTTTCCAATATATATATATATATATATATATATATATATATATATATATATAAATCACCGCAGGGGCACGGGCACCCCCTAGCCCTAGGGTGGGTCCACCCCTGTGTATGTGGACTATGTGCCATTCAGCTAAAGGTTTTAATATATGATTCAGTCTTTCTAGCCTACCAAGTTCGTTTTGCTGATGATAAATGCTCAAAATAAACCAAAAAAATTTAATAAAATTTTCATTTTCCATTAATTCTTTTGTCAATGTAAAATATACTGTATATCTCTAGATGAAAATACTTTCGCTTTAGTGGTTACTCAATACTTGTACAATACAAGCTAAAGCATGTTTGTTTTACTATGGGTTCAAATGTGTGGGGTAAGTGTTGGGGGGTCTATTCCAGTTGCCCAAATTTTGGCTCAAGTGACCTGGAAATCGGTTTCATCTCTGTCTTGCACCACTCTATACAAAGGGAGTAGATACAAAATTATGGGCTACCTGTCAGCTACCCGTCCTTAGAGCTGTCGAGATGAGCTAAACCATGGGGCTCATCCAGTCATCCATTGCAACTTGTTTGGTGGTGAGTTCGGTTTATCATTTTCAAACCTGTAATTCACGGTTTTCATGGGATAACCCGCAGATTGTTGATTTATTACAACCAAAATCATTAGCAATTATAAACTTATTATTGTACAAAAGTTGCTAAATTATTATTTCCTTAATAAATATAGATAAACTGTTCAAGCATATTTTTTATTTTATAGTTGACTATAAAATATATAATTTTGTAACGGTTAGTAATCATATAGTTGAAAACTATTTGAGCTAAGATCTGTCTCGAAATTCGTAAAGATTTCTGAGTCCCTCCACTTACTAGTAAGGTTGTAAACAAATCGAGTCGAATAATGTGATTTTGTATTTGTATTTGTTTAATTTTCCGAATTCGAATATGAAACAAATTTTAATTTTGATTTGTATTCATATTTCTTTAACAATATGAAGAGTCAACGAATCATATACAAATATCGAATTGATTTGATCATAAGTTAAAATTTTATCAATCATCATTTTAAAACAATTTTCCCTATATTTCTTATATTATAAATGCATGGAATCACTTAATATGCGTTTTAGAATTTAATTTGTAACATTCATGCAACGATGCATTTTTAGGTTGTGCATAATATAGTTTATACTACATACACATAATGGGTAGTAGATGCACACATACATACTAGATAGTTGATTTTGTTTACGTATAAACGAATATATATCTGACTATTCTTCGAATCAAATACATAATTATTTGTATTCGTATTTGGAAGATGTTTGAACTAAAAAATCATATTTGTATTCGTATTTATATTCTATATTTTCAAATTTAAATCATGATTTATGAATCAAAATCACAAACTTAATTAAAGTTATATGTTTTGTTTACAACCATTACTCCTTATAATACTTCTGATTTATTACAAATTGGCTTGAAACGTGTATACGCAAATGTATATATGGCTACACTTTGAGGGTATAGCTAGCTTTTAAAAGTTACTACATATTATAGTATCATTACTACTATTATTACTATTATTATCACTATTATTAATCGAATATATTTGATTAATATTCGAATCGAATACACTGATATTCGTATTTGTATTTGATAACATTTCGAAGCAAATTCAATATTCTTATTTGTATTTGTATTTGATTTTTTGAAATTTGAATCATCTTATACGAATTTGAATCTCGAAGCGAGCATAAATTATTTGATTCGTATACAACCC